AAATAACATACAGGCAACGCTGAAATCTGGTAGTTGAGGGCTACAAAAGCGGAGCGACGTCTGTGCTTTCAATTCAGCAGTATTATTCATGAGGTGAAAGTTCTCATTTTTATTGACTGATGACCAGTGGCTATTACGCTACTAGAAAGTTTACAGTAACAACGCAGTACTTCTACATATTGTTTATTAGAGCTTTTTTGTTCTGAATAGAAAATCAACCTCATTTTTCTGTTCATTTGTTTTCGTTTGCTCTTTTTTTACAAAGTGTAACAAGCTTAAATATGTTTTCGTATCGAGTTAGAAGAAAGACAGGTGACTCGTAAAGTGTTCCAACAGAAAGACAGTGTGGAAGGATGAACCTAAGCAGGAATGACCACACATTTCTGCCCAAATGCTACCTACGCTGTCATTGCATGGGTTAACGAGGTGGGAAAATAAATTCCAACAGTCGTAACTTTGATGAGCCTAAGAGAAATGACTGGGAATCACACTGAAGAGCCTCCTCGCTAGAAGGCAGTTATATCTGTGAAGCAGCAAATTGGTAAGAGCCACAGTGAAAGGAAAGCCAGGCCGATTTATTTGGTGTGGGCATTTTTGTAAGCACGCTCAGAAAAACGCTGTGCATTTCCTACATGCCTACAGGTACATCTGGACTGCACAGCCTTTGGTCAAGGGAATCAGTAAAAGATAGAACAGCTTGGTGAACCGGAAGAACTATGAAAATAAAGACACCATTAATTTTAATGGATTATTTGCAGAAGCTGGCATGGTTCTGCAGGATTAGCATGGACAGCTGGTCAGGATGCATGAGAAAAAGCGCACTCTGTAAAATCCTATCATTTTCTTTTCCGTTCGAGAGATGCTCTTCTTCTGTTCCCCCAGCCCTGGCTCTCACAGGTCCCAGCACACAGCCACCACTGTCACAGCTCATACAGCCGAAGGTTCTCTTTGTTGCTGACCCACCTCAGCTGGCTGGCCTCTCTCAGGCCTGGTATTTGCCAAGGCTTCAAACAGCACCAAAACCATACACTTTCTCCTTTTTTCCACACCCCTGTCCCAACACATCCAAAACTTTGATGAGGCAAACATAAAATATGGCCTTCTGGACATCATTTAATACATTTCACTTTTTTTTTTTTTTTTTTTGACTGAAAATGCTTGCATCTCAGTCAGCTCCTCTCTTTGGAATAAAATGGGACCAACCGTCAGAACCACGCAGCACAGAGCTATCTAGGTGCTGGTTTATAAGATGCATTTCTGCTGCTGCAAATGATTCAAAATGAAAGTATCTTCCCCTACTTTGGCATCCATGTTATTGTTTTTAGCTTCCACAGGGAGATGATGGGTAACAGGAGTCTCTAGCCATCTGAAGAGCCGACCTGCAGATGCAGCTGGCAAGGCAGTGCAGCCTGATGGGGCACACAGGGCCAGCCCAGCTTGGGGGACACCGGGCTGGGGCACTCCTGTGGACTGAACCCACAACCCGCCTGTCTCTGCAGAGCTCCCCTATCTTTGGGCTTCAGCTCAAACCTCTGGAGTCACTTAATCCAGCAGGACAGGAAAAATAAGTAAAGAAGCAACGTATGCTTGCACAGCAAGCCTGCTAAAGTTGTACTTTCATCCAAGCCTTATCAACCACAGTGTTCCTTCCAGGGGCCCACCAAGCAAGGCTGCAAATCCCCCTGCACTGCAGACCTCCAGGGTAGCACTGCCATCCCTGGGCACCCAGAGCTGTGGCTGACTCAGCCCTGCCACTGTCCCAGCAAACACTTTCAGCAACCCTACATCATAACACCGTGCCATGCGCTGGGAGTTACCGTGTTCGTGCTCCTGTTCCAGGCACCTGTCCCTGCACATCTCGGAAGCCATGGGATCTGCCCCGTCCCTGTTGGGCGATCTCTTACTGCCTTGCAGTGGGGATAGGAGTCTGCTTCCCTAGATGTACCAGGCTTTTCAGTTTTGACTCGCTCTCAGTAACTCTCTTTCGCTCCTATTTTATTTGATCCATTAGTCTCAATTTCAATTAGATTGTATTATACTGCGTTATCTTGCATTCCCACATCCTAGTTAGTAAAACAAGCTTTCCTCCATAGATTGTTGCTGCTGCCTGCTTTCCTTCCCTGAGCTCAGCTCCCATCTGCCTATCCGTTCTCCCTGTTAAGTTAAAAGAACCTGGCTGCAGGTGTATCCTTCTCAAGGAGCTGCTGGAGCAGACGGCCAGGCTGCTGCAAGAAATCAGCAGCCTGAGGAGCGCATGGAAATATCTGAGGGAGACAGATAGGAGGAGGTGTGAGCCTACTTCCACTGCAGAAACACAGCCTTATGCAATGTCCCTGCAAGTGGCAGTAGCCCATCCAGCTGCTTACCTTCAGGTCAGGGATCTAGACAGCCCATGAGAGGAAAGGCGTTGGACCCTCATCTCTGCTCAAAGCAGAAGAAAGCATCTGCCCCCAAGCCCCCACTGCATTGCCAACCCCTGCAATGTCCCCCTCAGTGTCCCTGAGGAGCAGATTCGAGGCCCTCTCCCCGCAGGAGAGGGATAGCAAAGAGTAGTCCAAACTCATGCCCTGAGAAGCACACTGAGAGTACAGGGAGTAACAGGCAGAGGGAGCGGGGCCCGTCAGGCACTGCATCAATACCAGTGCCACCAAAAATGGGCGGAGAGTCTTGGTAACTGGGGACTCCTTGCTGGGGAGCACTGAGGCTCCCAGTTGCCACCTGGATAATCGCTCCAGTGAGGCGTGATCTCTTCCAGGGGCACGTGTTAGAGGCATCGGGAAGGTTCGTCTGTGGCTCATTAAGGCACAAGACTGCTCTCCTACTGTCACTCAGGCTGGGACCCAGGATGCTGCAATGAGGAAACTAAATAATTATTTAAAAGGACTTTGCATCCCTTGGAAAGATGCTGAAGGGATCAGGGGTGCGGGCAGAGTTCTCCTGCGCCCTTCTGGTGGGTAGCTGGGAGCCAGGAAGATGGAGGAGAACGTGTCAGGTAAATGACTGGCTAGGGGATGGCGTCTCGATCAAGGCTTTGGGCGTTTTGGTCTCGGGCAGGCCTTAGAGAAATTTGGTATATGGGCTCCTGATGGACTCCAAGTGAGCAAGCAGGGCAGAAGCGTGCTGGGGAACAAGCTCTCTGCGTCCAGGTGTGGAGCCCCCAGTACAACAAAGACAGGCAGCTGTTGGAGAGGGTCCAGAGAAGGGCCACGAAGATGATCAGAGGACTGGAGCACCTCCCCTGTGAGGACAGGCTGAGGGAGCTGGGCTTGTTCAGCCTGGAGAAAAGAAGGCTGCGGGGTGACCTCACTGCAGCCTTTCAGTACCTAAAAGGAGCCTACAAACAGGAGGGGAATCAACTCTTGGAAAGGGCTGACAATTGCAGGACGAGGGGAAACAGCTTGAAGTTGAGGGAGGGGAGATTTAGGTTGGATGTCAGGGGGAAATTCTTTACAGAGAGAGCGGTGAGGTACTGGAACAGCTGCCCAGAGAGGCTGTGGATGCCCCATCCCTGGAGGTGTTCAAGGCCAGGTTGGATGCGGCCCTGGGCAGCCTGGTCCAGTGTTAAATGGGGAGGTTGGTGGCCCTGCGTGTGGCAGGGGGGTGGGGATTCATGATCCTTGAGGTCCTTTCCAACCCTGGGCCATTCTGTGATTCTGTGATTGATTACCAGGTCTTTATACTAGGTCCAAAGGGGGAAGGGATGGGAGACAGATGTGACAGAGAAGGGCTGAGGGAACGTTACAGCTGTTGGAGTTCGTAGGTAAAAACCTCCAGGTTGTCCCATTCAGACAGAGCTACCCCATGAATCACAAGGGTCAGAGGTGTCTCATTCAGACCGACACACCCTATGAAGCAAAATGGTCAGCTTGTCACAACGGTCTTCTGATCTAGGCCAGTTTCCTCCTAGCGTTTTGAACATTTCGACATTGTTTCTACTAGGACAGAGCAGACATCAGTTACTTGGACACACACTTCAGAAGAATTTGAAATTCTCTCTCTAAAAGGGAGAGCCTTCTGATGAAAAAGCAAGTTTTCTTAGAATGCAGTGTTTCTGTTTTGTTATTGTACATTTTTCAAGCTAAATAAAGCACTCATCTTGCTTCACATTTTTGTTTACTTCAATTTGCTTGTGCTTTATGTCCCACGGTGCCACAACTACTGCATTTCAGGGGGAAGATGATACCTCCCATTCCTTACCTGCAAGAACTCTGTCTCATTACACTGCTTTATTCTGCACTGTCAGTTCCAGACAGCATTGAACTTTGGTTTTCTGATCTTAATCTGCTTCCCTGCCAGTTTTTATTATGAACACACTGCCGACACTGCCCAGCCTGCCACGCTGGAACGATGCTGCAGCCTTCGCATCTTGTGAACGTGACTGATGTGGCAGCTGTTACAGATCTGTGCACGCCGGGGAGAATAGCTGTCTTTTCCATACATGCTAATACTTTCTATCATCTCCTTATCAATTTCCAGAAGCTAACAGGGCATACGCACAAGCAAAACGTAAGGCAAACAGGCTTTTACTTGTGGCTTTGTGCTTACCTTAAACACTTCCCTGCTCATATATCTCACAAATCTGTTTCAACCTGTAAAATATTCTTAGAAGCATTAAAATTTCTGTTTTGTCACAAGTAAAACACCCAAATACAGAGCGTCATTAGGTTGTGTTCACAATCTAAGATAACCACTTACAGGCCAATTTTGATATTGAATTTGAAGTCTGAACTTCCCCCTTCATTTTTCAAATGCAATTTTATTATTTGCAAAATAATACAAAGGGTACTAACAAAGTTTCCAAATTCTGCCCTAAAAACAACCCTTTGAGGAAGTATATTTAGTGTCACCTTTTCAAATAAAATTTCAAAAAGTGTCAGCTCATGCTGTACATAAAGAGGCACAGTAATTGTTTCATACCCAGCATCTGCTGTCCCTTACACAAGAAAGTTTTAATATTAAGAACAATAAAAAAATAAAAACAAGCAGATTTTGGAAGAATATAAAGATTAACAAAACATCCAGTTTTATTTCTCACACAGCTCAGCAGCTTTAGAAATCAAGTAAGAATTCATACACAGCAAACGTTTTTCTTCTTTATCACGTGAACGTTGTATTGCTGGGTCCAGTCAACTCCACTGGGTTTGACCATACCAAAACATCTGCATTGAAAGAAGTCTGCAAGATTCTGGAAGCATCCAAGACTGAAAAATGAGAAATACTCATTAATAAACCTACAAAAGACAACAGCAGGCATTAACAATACGTGATCCCTAGGGAAGCAGTAGCTAAGGGATAAAGCTGTCCGCAAAGACAGCTCTAAGAGAAGAAACACAACAATGTTCTATTCATCATTACTCCTTTGTTGACATTTTTTTAACCTGTGTCACATGTAATAGGGATAGAAGATGAAGTTCAACTCAGATGTTTGCAGTTAACACTAAGGAAGATTTCATCTGCTAGCACATGAGGAAATAAAGATTTTCAGTATAACAGGGAAACTTTGGTAGTAATTTCTTTATGAAGCTAAAAGAATTCAGAAAGGGCTGGTTCGTAACAAAGTTCCCCCCCTAGATCTAAAGAACAGACACAGAGAATGACGAATACACTCAAGGACATTGTCCTCCCTGCCTCTCTCTTCCTCTTGGCATAGCTCAGTACAGGCGTGACCAGCGTGCCCACAGATGGCTCAGGTTTGGCATTCGTGCAGCAGTGAAGCAGGCCAGAACTGAAGGGAAACACAGCTGAAACACCGCACACTACAGCACTTACTTGTATGGATTTCTCCTGAGTGAAACAGGATGCTTAGAAGATTTGCTCTCCATCAGGAGGTTCATTCTCTCATGTGAGGTCAGTCCCAAGAATGCAGTCTTAGAGAAAGAAAAACACGAGTAACGGCTGAAATACGAACATGACAAATTTAAATACTGGCAATACCAAAAGATAATCTTTAATGGGGAGGGATTGGGAAGACGTTGGCCATATCTAACCACTAAGTAACTCCTGCCACATTTAGGGACTTAAAAGTTGATCTTAAGTTTCACTTAAGCCAAAAGAGAATCCTAAGCCATGTTAAACAGCTGTTTCTTAGGTGGTTCAGAAAGCTCTTAACCGCATTTGCTTCGCCAACACCTCCTGGAGAAGGACAAACTTGAAGAAATTTGACAGCCCTTATGGGGATGAAATTCAGGTCACGTTTTCATTGCGGCAACCTAATAACACACTGCTGAACTCTGCCGTGGAATTTCCAACTTGAGTTCGCAGGCCATTTTGGGACAGTAACAACAGCTTAGCTCAACCTTAGTTAAACACGTTAGTTAAACATGTTTCACAATCAGAAAGACCAACCCAATGGAAAGGGGACACAAGAGGTGCAATGACAGAGGGACCAGAGCAACAGAAAACAATCTTTTCCCCTTCCCTTATAACACCTCCCTCATCTCCACAGATCTAGGCTCACAGGGGAAAACTCCACCAGGGAGGGATCTCCAGAAAGAGCTCCTTCCCCAGGGGCAGTCAGCCCTTCATTGGGGTCTAAGAGAGGTGCAGCCAGGCTCCACCCCTTCCAGTCACACAGCTGAACTGCCTTCACCTGTGCTCCCAGGGCTGACCCAGTCCTTTCCCCAGGGGCTCCATCAGTGGCTCAGGCTGTGACTCAACAGTTCCCACACAACAGGCTAGAATTTTTGACAACACTGCCATTAGAATTCAGATATAGGAATGCTGTGCAGAATGGATCCCACTTTTAACATCAGAATAACAAGTGCACACGTACCCGTGAAAGTTGAAAGGACTGCTCTGAGGTTTAAGGGGAGCACCCAGATATGACGTCAGAATAGGAAAGCAGGTGCAATGCCTTTAAGGCAACACATCACTTAGGGAAACATGTTCATGTGGCAGCTCATGACGAGAGGAATGTGAACTGAAGCAAAATAACCCCTGGTAGAGCTGAATAGTTAGCCACAATGAAGCCCATCCAGTGTGGAGGCAGGCTAGCATGAAGATGTAGGACAGCCATGGAGAACAAGAAGTTATCTGCGTCAAGTTCGTCCATGTCCATCTGCATGGTAACTTGTTATGCAGTGGTTTGACCAATCTGACAAGGTTCACAATCATTTCGTTACCTTTCTAACACTGACCACTCCTGCACTAAGCAAAGAATATTTGCACAAAGTGTTGTAGAGCAGTGTGCTCTCAAAACACCGCTTCCCACTCAAAACACTCACATGGATACGCCATGCTCGCTGCTCTCGTTGCACAACCTTTACTTTCTGTGTCCATAATCCACAGAGGGAACATTCCAACAGCTGGCTGGACACTTTGTTCTGTTTTTACATTAAAGTGAACTGGTGATATTGAAATAATAATTACCTCTCGTCGTCCAGCTTTCTGAAATTTTGCTGCACCCTAATTATTAGTTTTAGGATTTGCCTTAAACACCACCACCAACAAAAGAAGATTGTAACAGTGACAAGAAAGCAGTACTGTTCACACTATTAAACAAACAAACTGGAATATTCAGCTCCTGTAGATTTCTAAGAGATGCTCAAAGCCTATGACATGTCTTAAAAAACACAAAACCAGTACAGGTTTTGCTGTTATGTCAGTACAGCAATCAAGTGGTTTTCCTCCCCTGTTCACGTGAACACGGAAAACAGAGAACACTGAACTTCTGCACACTTAAGACCACACTGAAACACAGGAAAGCAACTCACATTCACTCTGTGTCCACCACTGCCATACCTGGGTTCATTTTACTCCAAGTAGAACACTGACTCATTTCTACAGTACAGAACCCCAGAACAGCTTAGGCTGGAAGTGACCTTAAAGATCACTCAGTTCCAACTCCTGAGATGGGGATGGAACTAGACTGAGTTGCCCATTTGTGCAGTTATAATTAGTTATGCTAGCTAGGAATAAAAACCATACACAGGTCCATGACAGCTAAATTGAAGTAAGTTCACTGATACATACACAGAAGATAAAGCAGCCAGACACTGGTCACAGTTAAGGAAGACAGGAACAACAGGTAGTAATGATGGTTCCCAACACCTACATTCGAGTCAAGGAAGAAGAAAAAAACCAGCATGACATCTTAAGAGTTTTGCAGTACTTGTATTTCTCCTCCACTTTACAGGAAAAAGAAGAATCTAAAGCACTTCCTACTATTACCTCTGCTGTCCTCAAGACATTTTGACAAAGCTGATCTCTCTCAACTTTCTCCTGTAAGCCATTTCAGTTTATATAATAGAATCAGTTCTGGTAAAGTCAGCCAGCATTTGTCTCTTCTTTAGAGCACATCCCTGTTAGCTGGACGGGGACTCATTATGCTAACACAGCTCTGCCCATGCACTGCACAGTTGTCTTGGAAGACTGAAAAATCTGTACTGTTCAATTTCATTGCTTCACCTTGATGTGTCCTAAAACTGCTAGCTCTTAAAAAAATAGATTTCTATCAGATAAGACTCTTGGGCAACTCTCAGTAACCCCTGCAGTCTCCACAGTGTGCTCTTGCATCAGGTTTGCTCTTTAAGTAGATAAATGTTATTTCTGCAACATCTCTTAAGGCATGAAATTTTCAGCTTTGATAAAGCAAAGACTCTTACCTGTGCACTGTGCAATCCACAGAGAATGCTGATCATATCTGGCTACACATGAATCACAAGGAACGCAGTGCACAGATCTCAAAGGCTTCCTTACCTGTTTGAGCACAAAGGAAAGGAATACAGTCAGAGTAAAAGCAGCTGCTTTGACCAAAGCTCAGAGCATCACCTCCTGGCACTAGCATATTTTATAACTATTAGTATATAGCGGGCCTCCAAAACAGAACACAGATGAGAAGTTTTCTAAATCTTACAAAAAAAAAGAAAGAAAAAGATGGAATTTCTATTGTTTTTTTTAAATCAAGAATGAAACCCAACGATCTGAAAACTGCTTTGTGACCAGAAGTGAGAAAATGAAATCTAGCCCAGAACAAGCAGCGTATGGAGCACTCGCATGACAAGGAGAAAAACAGGTATTGTACTGAACTACTACTGACTGAAAAACAGGTTTCAAAAAAGCAAAGGAATATCAAAACCTTACTTACAAGACATGACGTGCAGAATGTTCTGAAGTCCAAGCACCCTGCTTCTGCTAGAGCTGCAATGTTCTGAAAGACAGAACAGTTTCTGCGTGCACTTGGATCACGTTTTATGGGACCTATGAAGATTGGTACGTGAGGCCTTTTGCAGACACTGAGCACTTGGAGTGCTGAGCAACAACACGTGGAAATACCTGCGGTTCTGGAACAGAGAAAAGGGCCACAAGAAGGCAAGGACTCGTGCAACCTCACTCACATTGAATTATTTAGGAAAGCAGCTCTCCCCCACACAGTCAGCCAGACTTCAAAAGGGATGAGGACAGAAACTTTTTCAACACCATTGCAAAAAGACTGGTAAGTATTGCCTATCTTGCCCTGATAAGCACTCAGTGCTTCTTTGTGGGCACCAGATAGCCAATATTCACCAGTTCTGTGGCCACAATGTCAAAAAAGTTAAAATTGCAGTTTAATCTCCCTGGCAAGCAGTAGAAACATAACCA